AAATTTGCTTCATTTTTATAATGTGAAAAAGTATTTGGATTAGAATTTTTGGTTTTCTTCCTTATGAGTAAATTTAGGCATATATAAATACAGTAATCACACTTAAATCAAATCATCTTCATTTTTAAATTTTGTTTAATTGGTCTTCTCCAAGCATTGCAAAAATACGGTCCCAACAATGTCTTGATTTTCACTCAAACTGTATAATAAATTATATATTTATGCAATTTATAAAATTATAACAATTTTATAAATTTGTACTAACATTTTATATATGAATGTTTGTTTATATGTTTAAGTATATATATATAAATATATAATGTGTTAGATTTCTATATTTACCTATTTATTTATTTTTATTATTTATTTTAATTATTTATTTATTTGTTAATTAAATTGGTTTATTATTTATTTATCTGTGTCCTGATTAATCTTTGGATACTTATCGAAGGCCTTAGGAAATAGGGAGGGGCGGTAGATGGGAGTTTAAGTTTGTTTTCAAGGTTCAACAGTTTTCTTCTTTTTGTTTTTGTTGTAGTTACATATTTGATGTCATCGTTTTGCTAATAGGACTTTTATTTTTCATATACATTTATAAGATTGTATATTATCTGGAAAAAAAAACGCAATTAAAATATTTAAAATAAATAATCTCTTAGTTTGAGATGAATCAGCACTGCATAGAGACTGTTCAGATGCACCATGACACCCACTAATAAAGCTACAAGTAAATGGATTGATGACAATTTAACAGAGAAAAGTTTTATTCTTGATGTGAATCGCATCAACAAATTGTGGCATGCTTGTGAAAGTGAAGCAAACCAAGAAAAGAAATACAACCTTGCAATAAAATAGGTCTAAAATCCACTTAAGACATGAAATTATTGGACAATTCTTATTGTAATGGGTTAAATGTAAAAAAAAAAAGTTACTATCCTGTATGCAATTTGTCCGTTGTTTAGATCAAAATGATATCTGGGAATGAAACAGAAAATATAAAGCAATTTTACTACATTTGTTTTTTTAAATAATTTGTTATACCAATATATAAGATTATTAAATCAGTTTAACAGGAGACAGTAATTAACAAAAGTTGCATTTTTTTCATAACTGTCACCATCTATCATATTCACATATCATATACAAGTGGTAATCTAAAATGTAGGGTGACAGTTAAGGGGTCTGTTAGTGATTTTACTTACTAGATTCCTCATTCAGTTCCTTGATTTGTTTTATTATGCATAAGGTGTCAAATCCAAACACTGTTGCGGCCAGCAAACCAAAAACCTTTAAGACCACGCATGAACAAAGTGTTAAAAACAACAGTGCAAAATCAACAGTATACTTAAAACATCTTAAAAAACACTAAATAGGATTTATTATCCTTTCAGCCACATGCTGTAATCATTGCTCATTTACTTACCGAGCCAGCAATTTCCATAGAAAATTCATTTGTCACTGCAAACTTAAGGCAGACAAGAGAACATATGAAAAGCAGAAGTGTGCCTGTGATGGCTCTGAAGAAGTCCTAGATGAATGAGAACATGGCATTTTGTTATTTCAGTCCAAAATTAAAGGAATATTTCTAGAATATAAACTATTGAGGGCTATAACAATTAGGCATTTTGGTCAGTATAGTCAAATCTAGACACTCTAGTGTGTATATATTTTTACCGTCCATGGCAAAAACCTCAGCAGTACATCCAGTTTCATTGCATAAACAATGAATATGATAATGGCCCAGACCAGCTCTACAATGGAGCCCCACAAGTAGCATCCAAAAGACATTGCTTTGCAAATGGTTGCAATGAGACACAGCGCCTAAAATAAAAGAGAAATAAGAAAGATACATTTCTTGTTGACTCTAACACTATTTTAAAACACATTTGTCAAGATTACTTCATAAGACTTTTTAATGAGGAGGTGATTTTTTTTTTCCTCTCTGCGCAATCTAGTAAAAATCTAAACGGACCCGATATGTAACCGTGGAGCACAAAATTCATCCTGCACGTATTTTTATTTGGCAGTATCCAAAAATACAATGTACCTGTAGGTGTCAAAATTATTTTTTCTTTTATGCCAAAAATCACAGGAATATTAAAGTTTTTCAACTGCTAAGCTTTGAGCAATACCAAAGCAACTTTTTTTAAAACTGTATGTATGCATTAGCAACATGACTCCAGTTCATATACAGTGGGTCACAAAATAAGCTTGTTTCACTAAACCACTAAAAGCAATTCTCAAAACATTTCATTCATAACACACTAACCTAGCAACTGAGAGCATTACCAAAAAACTTTTTGTTCAAGTCTTGTGTTAAAGAATGTGTGATAAGAATGCAATTGTTAAAAATGTACTAAAAACTGTTATTACCAGTTTGAATGTATAGCATATCCATGTAATCTTAAATGAAAGCAGTGTTGAGGAAGTTACTTTAGAAAGTATGGCTGTCACCAGCTCGGTCCCAGTTATTCCCCTCACTGGCCAGCAGAGGTCTCTCTCACCTGACTTCTCTAACACTACATCCCCCAGAAGCCCCGTATCTGTCACTGATTGTGCTGCACCTGACTCTGATCACACACACATATAAGCAGCATCCACGCTCATTTCATTTCATTGTATTCCTTGCTTTCTGCCCCGACCCTTTGCTTTCCTCTCAGGGGTGCCCCCAAGGCTACCCCAATATGATTTTGCTGTTGACATTATAAATTTAAATATGCTTATGTAAATTCCTATTATTTCAATAAATAAATAAATATATATGAAATGTGTTTTTAAACTAAACATTGCTTTTTATTTGGTTTGCACATGTACTTGCGGAATTATTTCAAGGAATAAATTGCAATATTTAAACCACTATTTCATTTACCATAAATATATATATATATATATATATATATATATATATATATATATTTAACACTGAATTTATTATTTTTTGTGTGCCACCCCAAGATTTAGTGTGGCTTCTTCTGGCCACCCCTAAAAAATTTTCTGGGGGCGCCACTGTTTCCTCTCTGTCTTTGACTCACGCTGCCAGCCCTAATCTATGCCTGTTACAACAACCAACGAGTGTTTACTGCCTGCCTTTCAACTATTTCTGCCCGATGTTCATGTGAGTGTCTATGACAACATTTAGCGTGTGTTCCTGATTATACTGAGTTCAATAAATATACTGCAGATGGATCCCTCTGTGTCAGCTTCCTCATTACAATTGCATTAGAATATTGAATTACTCCCTAAAAAAAGTATTTGTTACTTTTTATGGTAAGTAATGCGTTACTTTTGTGTTACATTTTTTCTGACTTGGCTGAGGCTTGATCTCTTTCAGAACTATCAGGGTTTTTTTCTTCATTATTTTTTAAAATAGAGGAGCTCTGTAATTAACAACACAGTGTACAACCTTCATTTACACATGAAAAATGAATTTAGGATAATGTTATCTTCAGAGAACTTCCTGATCCTAGAGCTCTACATGCCAAATATACAGATTAATGAAAGTTTAAAGCAATTTGTTTGCTGCTTTTGTACCTTTTGTCTTATTAAAAATTAAAATCACTGTCTGATCTCACGAGAAAACGTAAGTATTTTACGTTTTGGCAGTTTAGTGGCTAATTCGTACCAGTTCAGTCCTAAGAAAATGTACGATTTTAAAAAGGAGGCGTGGCACCTAACCCCACCCCTAAACCCAACCGTCATTGGGGGATACGCAAATCGTACTAAAATGTACGAATTAGATGTACGAATTTGTACGAATTAGCCCCTAAATGAAAAAGTTACGAATTGCCGTGAGATTGTGTTGTCCATTCAGTAATCCTTTTTTTCAATGTGTTCGAAATAATGAGAATATTTCCATCGCAAAAATGTAAGGCTCTGCCACCTTCCTTTCTGCCTGTTCCTGCATTCCCACATGTTGTACTTGCATTATTTTTTTTAAAAGTAACTAAAATATTATTACTTCCTTTTTAAAGGTAATGCGTTACTTTACTTGTTACTAAGAAAAGTAATATTATTACATACTTTGCATTGCTTATAATGCTTTACTCCAACACTGAATTAAAGTCTCATAACAATGTCATAATATTTATTGATTATTTACATTTGAACTTACAATTTCAAGAGTTAAAACGATCGCCTTTCGTGAGAAGATGAAATTTGAATCTTCAGTTGTGTCTGCCATCTTGATCTTGTATTTAACTAGAACAAAACAATTACAATCAACAGATAATGTGTGTAGCAGTAAAAGATTAACATTTTATAAATCAGTGGATCTACTTTATATTTACATGAATACTTCACTAGGCCTAAAATGTACTAATACACTATCAAACGGCATTTATTTGTTACAATTACAAACAGCACTCAATTTGAATACTATAAAACTTACCATAAACTTATCACAACATTTGACAGCATAAAAAAACACAACACAAACCCCACAACCACAAAAATGCTTTTCTTTATAGCCTATTATAAAATTTAGAAGTAGGCTATGATTTCATAATATTAACCTCCATTTGAAAATGAGATGTAATTTGTAACTTACATACCTGAAAAGATTCTGATGAGGAGCCTGAGGCTTTCGGGTGCAATGCAGTGACACCAGAAAAATATGAAAGTGTGACAGGGAAAACCCACATACAGCAGATATTGGTCTATATTTCTGCCTTCTCTGGAACTGGTACTGCATAGTTTCCGCTCACTGAATGCTTTGTAGCTCTGGGCCGCTGTCTCAAAACCACCATGCTACACCTTTTATTATATAATGCATTTTCAAGGTTGGTGTGTTTGGGGTTTTTTTTCTGTCTAACATTGCAAAATAATTATCTTAACAATCTTGGTTGGTGTAAAGGTTATTGCACGCTGAATCTGAAATGTTTATAGATTTTTCATATTCATTATCTTAAATATTGTGTATAAATAAACCTGTTGAAAAAACTCTTCAAGCAATGAATATGATTTTGTTGTCCTCTCTTCTTAAAAAAAAAAAAAAAAGTTCATGAGTTCATGAATGTTCATTTCTGAACCTGAAATACATCACCTAAAAGCAGAATAAATAACCTTTCCACTTATGTTTGGTTTGTTAGGATATCTGGAATCTGAGGATTCACACTTAGCTGATGATTGATTATAAAGTGAGTTTGGCATGCTGTCTCGAGAGAGAGCCCTGAGCTCATAAGATCATCGAGCTCAGGGCTCCCTTCCATTTGCAAGGCGAGAGGGGAGTTTGACTCTCACCCTATTTAGAGCTGATGACAAATTATACATTGCTATATAGATATATACAGCTGGTTAAGAGCTCGACTATAGTGCTAATTTAGATTGATCAATTCACTTATGACGCAATGTTTTGGGACTTTGGGAGGAAACCTGAGAACCCGGGGCAAACCCACGCGAGCACGCGGAGAACATGTAAACTCCACATAGAAATGACAACTGGTTTGTTAAGGATTTGAACCAGTGACGTTCTTGCTGTGAGGCAACAGTGCTAACCACTGGGCCACTGTGCTACCTTATAAAGGGAAAGGTAGAGGAGTAGGGGTGTAAGGGAGAATTCTTCAAGGTGAAGATAACTAAAGAAAGAAACTCTGGTTATTTATAGTGAGTTAGTTATCCTCTGATTGGTGAATCATGCATTAGTTAATGCAGGACCAGCCGTGATCAATCATAAGCACATGCTCCTCTGGAAATTACCCACATAGCAAAACTTCTTTGGCCCAGGTTTGGCCCACACTATCAGCTTTTGCTTGGCCCACTTGCCGAAGTGAATTACGGTACATGACTGGACCAAGTCTGGCTTCCATACAAGGGCCAAACATGGACCATATCTGGGCCAAGTTTCAGCTAAGTTTATAACCCAAAACAGGGCCTGATTTGGCCCAGATATGTTGGTGTGTCACGACTGCAATGGATTTGATAAACCAATGAAGCATTTCGCTTTATGGATGTGTTTTTTTCTCAAAGCGACATGATTGGTAGAATTTTTTTCTTTACTCAAAAAAAAGTGGGTCAAGCCTTGCGTGGCCCACATATACATTTTTAATATCTGGGCCAAATACAATATTTGATATCTGGCCCAAGTCATGTATGCCACCTTAAAGATGGTGCCACATCTGCCAAACCCGGGCCATGTTTGGCCCACATGTTGTATGCTAGTGCCGGATGAATGCCTAGCCTGCTTTATGCCAAATCTGGGCCAGAATTCTTTGCTATCTGGGTAGTTTATAAATAAACTTTACTTAAAGTTGTCCAAATGAAGTGTGCAATTAAATATAGAGATTAAAAAGTAAAATAATTTAGTAGAATAGTTTTTTAATAGTCATAGCCCAGCAAAAGAATACAATGAAAACTACAATATATTGCTTGAAAAAACAAATGCACATTTAGCAAATCCAAATCTTTGCGTTAGTCATTTTGTCTTTTGCTTTGTTTGAGGAATAACCATTTGATGCCATTTTCAGTGACCATAACACTTCACTAGATTGATGAAACCCCAAAAATGTTGAAACCACGACATGCTTTCAATACAAGGTCATTTTTGCAACAAGAAACGAACAAATCCAGAATATTCTTTGTAAGTTAACCAGGAATATTTTTTTCATGAAAATACAACACACTCCAAGGCCAGTCATTTACGACACCAACCTCTTTTATGGCCGTTTAAGGAGGATGCTATTAGTCATCTTCCTGTCGTCCAAACTATGCAACAACCATAAGAATAATTTAATTTATCCTCATTAGAATACAGCCGCAGCCAATCGCTGGCCTTCTGATGTAACTTACTCCCGATGGCCAATATTTTTCCAAAATGATGTTTGTGGGTGGAGGCAGGAACTCTTTAAAGACAATAAGATCAGATGAAAAAGATGGTATGTCACATATTACAAAAACAAAATTTCTGTTTAACTAGAGTTGACTCGTTTAAGGGTCATTAGAGATTTCAAGCTTTATGTAGGCTTTATGCCTATTTCTTTTCTTGCTTCACTAGAATTAAACATCTTTTTTTCTTCACCACTCGAAAAATTATGGGTGACATATTTTGGGTATTCTATAGTATTTCTTTATAGAGGAACGTTCCCATTCTTTGGTTACTCATACCCCCCTAAAATTATGTAAAAAATATGGGAAGGTTTTTTCCAGAAGACTGTGTGCAGTGTTAGTGTGGGCTTCCCTTAGTGTTAGTGCAGTGTTAGTGTGGGCTTAATTTCACTACAATCCCTTCCCCCAAAAAATGTTCTGAGAAAACATTGCCAAAACTTGCTGGATTTTTGTTGTTGTTGTTGTTTTGAACAAAGTATGAGATATATGAGGTATAACGATAATTTTCTAAATCACAAAAGCAATAGGATCTCTTTTTTTTCAACAGGATAACTTATTCTTTATTGAATTTTCCTTCATGGATTCCATAGAACAATACAACAGAATTTCTGGATAATTTTGGTGATTGAGTTTTCAGCATGGTCATAACCATTTTCATCAATATCTTCATAAACGCTAAGAATATATCATACACATTAAATACAGCACAACCCAAAGGCATCGAGAGTTTCACAAGACATATCAAACACCACTAACAACAGAGAAGTTGAGTAGCATATTCATTTGGAGGAGGAGAAGAGTGGGCCAGAGCAGAGAATGGAAGAGAGAGAAAAAAGAGAAAGAGAGAGAGAGAAAATGAGGGAGGGAGAGACACGCTAATACATTTAGCAGGCCATGGGCCTTCTACCCAAAAGCGAAACCTGGTTTTCCTCAAAGTCGCAGGCAAATTAAAAAGTTTGAAAAATATTAGATAATCAGTTATAAGTCTGGGTAAGCTTGCATTATGAGCATCAGATCATGCAATAATATAAAGAATTTCATCATAACAACGTCTGCTGCATCAGCCCTAAAGAAAATAATGATCAACTCAGGGCAAAACACAAATCTGGTGCACTTACTAGATAAATAAGATGTTTACTCAGCATCTTCTTATCTGAAAGTGCTAGACTTTTATATATATATATACGGTTTCAATACTATAAAAAACGAAGACTTTATTGCACCAGTTAACCTCCCACAAAAGTGGTTTAAATGATAAATATGCATTTTATAGCTAATTTAAAATAACCACCATGATGCCTGCCTCAGCCAGAAGATAAAGCTATCATATATACCAGAAATTTACCATCATCTGCATTTTGAGCAACCGATTAAATAGAAAACATAATCTAAACTGGCATTCAGGTGATACTTTGATGCAAGGCATGGAAATTCACATTACAGCAGTTCATGATATTGATTAAAGAATGTGCAGGTGCTTCATATATATTTTTATATGTACATCTGAAAATATACCTCAATATCACAGGCTTCAAGCCTGGAATATTGTATTTGCTTTTTCAAGTGAGGGAGAAAAAAAGAAAATATTGATGAAATTGAAACTGGCATGTATATATCTATATGACTGACATCTCAACACACAGAATTGATTCTCTTGGTCCGGTGCTCACACAACACAAACAAATTCCCAATCCATATATATATAGATAGATAGATTTATAGATCTATTTTTTTAGCATCCTCTAATTTAAACAGCACTACATCAACACAGCACTTGGAAACATTGTGTCATGAACAACCATGCTAATTCTTCACTGAGAACGCATGTGCTTTTCATAAGACAACGATTAGAGAGAGAGAGAGAGAGAGAGAGAGAGAGAGAGAGAGAGAGTGTCAAAGTAAACAAAGTCAACATTTCATCAGGAAATGAAAAATGCTTTATGATACCCCTGACCGTTTTGCTTGCTGGTTGAATTAATGTGGTCCATCCATAAGTTTAGGAATGATTGTGCCCACAGCAACTCTGGACGCCCCCCATCGCCTCTGTCTCAGTCATATCAGTGCTCCATCCCGCCCATGAAAAAATAACCAACAACAACCAAATACCAAACCAAAGAAAAGAATCCAACATTGAAATGGAACAAATTGTACCAAACCACAACCCACCAGAGGTAAATATGTCAAGGAACAGACTCTGTGGGGCTTTGTGAATGTTTTCCCATTTTCAAATTATTATTATTATTATTTTATTAATTTAGGGCCTCTAAAGTGATCTAGACTACAGTGAAATAATCCTATATATATATATATATATATATATATATATATATATATATATATATATATATATATATATATATATATAGTTTATCATTATATCTTTACAGCACACAGACAAATACATTCTCTCAAGTTCAGCATTACTATTGTCAACATCATCAATTCGAAAATTTGTAATAGGCTTCATATACGTTTTCATATTTTGGTACAGTACTCAAGTGTTTTGAATTTTGATCGACCTTTTTTTAGTTGTATACATCACAATATTAAACAGCACATTAAAATCCCTCCGCTCTATCCCGCACCCCTCTATATATGTGATTTTAGATTCGACCCCATCCCCTCCCCTCCCACCCGCCCCCTTTCCTTTCACAGACGTAAGCACAGACGCACAAACAGGAAGAGGTGTGGGATTGTGGGTAAGGTTCAGGCACCACACTGCTAGAGTCAAACGATCACCTTCTTCCTGTGGAGAGAAAATGAGAAAGACAGCACTATTTAAGTGAAACTGAAGAAAAAACTGGAGTAACATCATTTCAAAGAAAACTTAACAAGGCTCCTTTCAGGAGTTTAAAATGGTTTGTCTAAGCAAACTTTCTGGAAAAGTTGACTCTAGGTAATAAACACCTTAAAGGTTCCATGAAGTGCTTTGAAATGTGGATTTTTTATTCGATATTTGGTGTAAGCTCAACTGAAAAGTGAACAGTGCCAATAGTATTTTGTTTTATCACAGTTCTGCCAGTAAGAGAGGTTGAGATCAAGAGTATCAAATGAAAAGCAAATGAGAAGCGTCTTAGGCCCTGTTTACACTAATGCCTTTTAGTTTTAAAAAGCAAAAGTTTTGCTATGGTTACACCATCTGTCACCACTACACCTGAGTTTTCAAGCACCGAAAACAGAGTGTTTTGAAAACGCTAAAGAGGCCGTTTTCATTCTAAAACGCTGCTGCTCCATCTAAGTGTGGATAGGGGAAAACAGAGACATCTGAAAAAACACATTACCTGAGAACAAGTAATAGATTCAAAAGACCAAAGTTGGGGAATATGTCGTTAGAAATAGAAAACAAGATGAATGAAATATCACGTTTAACAAATATATTGAGATTAGATCCAGCGGGAGATGCTTGATGAGCACTCCGAGCACAGCTCTCATCTGGCTATAGATAGGCTGCAGCGCATGCCAGAGCGTGTGAATGTGGTCGCGTAATGTGCGTTTTCAGCATTTTGGTGTGGACGGAGAGCTATTCAGAAATGCTGGGTGAAACGCTAGTGTGGACGCGGATCGTTTTCATTCTAAAATGCCGTTTTAAAACTAAAATGCACTAGTGTAAATGGGGCCTTAAACAGGGTGAGGGATGTCAGATTTTAGAGAGCATTTGATTGGTCAAAATTTGATGGGAAACTGAAGTAAAAAGCTCTTTTATCCATTAAGGCAGAAGTGACAAATCTTTGGATGTTTATATCAGTTTTACATTCTAAATGCAAATTTTGCCACTTTTTTGGGAGCACACTACAGAAGCTTATAGATATCCTTAAAATGAACATACTAATACTTACATCTAAAAACCGTTATTTTAATTTCACAGGACCTTTAATCATTTTTAGGTTTTAGGTAGCTGAACAAGTCTTTTCCTATACACAGACACATACCATTTTAAAAATTGTTGTAATCTGTAGGTAAATGTCTGTTACCAAGACAGTCCAATCAGAATATATATAAAGTTTTTTTTAAAACATGTTCCATGAATTTGTTTTGTAAAGTTCCTAATGTAAGTGTATAAGAACTTGATTAGTAATATGCATTGGTAAGCACTTTTTTCTGAATATTTTGAAAGATTTTAAAAAAAAGGAAAGAAAATGGATTTACAGACTTACGAATGGTTTTGTGGTCCAGGATCACAGGTACATGTGGTCAATCTATTAGTTATTTAATTTAATGATATATTTCAATATATTGGCCATGTATTACTTTTTGAGATGTCCCATCCCATTTTAAATTGGCTATCACTATGTCCATTTACCCATGTAGAACTAATGTTGTCCAAATATGGATTTGACAAAAAAAAAAACTCCAGTTTATATTAAATAATATATACATATATACAGGGCTTGACATTCACTTTTTTGATCACCAGTCAATGTGGCTAGTAGATTTCCAACGTTACTAGCCACTCGCCATTTTCACTAGCCACAATTTTGTTGTTGGGAAAATATATTTTATATGCATAAATTTGACTTTGACATGCTAAAATTACTTGATTTATACTTTGTGGTATGTCTACATGCCCCCTCATTAATTTCACTTTTTTGTTGTGTATGAACTTGCTCAATGAGCATGAGCAAATGGATTATGATTTTATAGTGTCGCATAGCAATTAGTTTTTATTTCACATGACTTTTCAGGGCTCAACACTAAAGATTTATCATATTTATCTCTGACCACACTAAATAAATAAACATTATTTCTTAGCCACACATAAATACTATGTCAAAACAAGCAAAATATAGCTGTATACAGTAAATGCTCTTTTTATACAAAAAAAACTTTCTTTAAAAAAAATAATTGACATTTAAAAGAAGAATTATTGCCATGTATCTAAAACAATGTATAATAATCTGTCCTGGCTGAAGGTCCCAGATCACCAGTTAACTACACATAAATTGGGAGTGTATCTCCCATTACAGCAATGTTATTGTAAAAAATGATAATTAATCCATATCAACAAAAATAATTGTAAGCAAAAGAAAGCAGGTGAAAAGCATACCGTGTGTGATAACGAAAGGATGATCACACGCACATGGTTAACGTTAGGGCCATAATCTGTTCAAATAATGGTTAAAGACAAAGCGGCAACCGCTACTGCTTAAAAAAAAGAAATTTTTCAAAACATCTGGAGCTCTTGAAAGCAGCAAGACTATGGGTGCACAAGCATCCCTTTATGTGCAGTCTATTTCGAAAAGAACCAACCGCAGCAGTTGCAATTCCAGGCCCGGTTGCTTCACGCCAGGAAATAGGAGTGTACATGCTTTTTAAACATTCGCGCACATCACGTCACCTGTGCTCGCCAGTGATATCTTCTCATTCGGTTTTACCTGCTTTCTTTTTATCATGCTGCTTCTCGATTCTAAGATCACATTTGCACGCATATTATTCCATCTCTATTGTCGAACCCTGCTTTTAAGAAAACTGCAATTTAAAAATTATTTTCAACCAGCCTGAGTGGTTAGTGGGATAGGCTGGCTTACCTGCCACAGCTGAAATCTACCTGCATTTTGCGGGTGTTAATGTCAAGCCCTGTATATATATATAAATATACATATCTGTTAACACCAGGTGATGTAGAGAAATGAATGAGACCCATACTCCCTCATTCAAAGTATTTCTTTCCATTTAATTCAATATGAATATATTTTGAAATAGACTTATGAAATGAATATGTGGTCAAAAGCTGATAAATTACAGTATCATGTTTAGTTGATGTACAGTATCTTCCTAAATATTTGCTAGTTTTTTAAAGGTGTAGCTCAGTTGTCCTATTCGAATAAGTCATACTGTTTTTTTAATGGAAATTTGCTCATTAGGACTATATCTCAAACTTTTTTTTTTTTACCCCAATCCAATTTTTACCCAATATGTTTTTCACCATTAAAAACAAAGCATCCCACTTCATCAAAACAAATCTCACCAGCTAACTCCCGCTTCCTCAGATTTTCTTCCCTCACATCTGGTTGGAAAAGGAGGTGGGTGCCCCCTGCTGTTCATATCCGCCCTGGCCGTAGTCTCCACCCTGATTGTAGCCTTGCTGGCTGTAGTCGGGCTGGTAGCCTCCCTGGGAACCGGCATACGGGTCCTGCTGCCCGTAACCTGCCTGTCCGTAGGAGTCAGGGGCGGGCTGCTTCTCCTGGGCAGGCTGCTGGCGCATAAACGGTGCCACGATCCCAGTCTCCTTGAACACAAACCACAGGTTACCCGTCCACAAGATCAGGTTCAGGAAGCCAAAGACCTGGAGAGAACAAAAAATAGGCTTGAACCACAAGAAAGACATTAAAAGAATTCCAAAAAAACGTATTTTTACTAAGCAGAAGTGACTCACGACAGAAGTATTAAGACCAGACATGACAGGGTCGTAAACTTCACGGCATCGGTTGCCACTGTTTTCACAGGCAGGGATCAGATCCAGAACCTTCTCTGGGTCAGTAGCCGTCTTGACATCCGACAAGCCCTTAGCCCAGGCTGCCGAGCTCACCAGCCACATGAAGGTGAATACGCATGTCACACCGAAATCCTGCAATTATTAAAGAGGCTTATACAATAGATATATTATATAATATATAGATATTTTCCTTCGGCTTAGTCCCTTATGTATCAGGGGTCACCACAGCAAAATGAACCACCAACTATTCTGGCATATGTTTTACGCAGCGGATGCCCTTCCAGCCGCAACACAGTACTGGGAAACACTCATACACACACATACCCATACACTAGGGCCAGTTTAGTTCATCCTATTCACTATTACAGCATGTCTTCGGACATGAAGGAAACCAATGCGAACATGGGGAGAACTTGCAAACTTCACACATAAATGTAAATTGGTCCAGTTGGGACTTGAACCATCGACCTTCTTGCTGTAAAGGGGCAGTGCTAACCACTGAGCCACTGTGTCGCCCCGAGCTGCAACATAGTTTGGCTGAAGTTACATTACTTACAAACATCATGTAATTAATTTTTTTCAAAAGCTCTTAGAATAAAAGTAAAAAACAACCCCTAAAATTGCCAAAAGTAGTCCATATAACTATTAAGGAAGTTTTACGTGTTTTTAATTTTTAAAAGACTTTTCAAAGACAATTTTCCAGAACAAAAGTTGTACATGACTAAAAGTGACATCAGATAAAAGTAGAAAACAAAACAAAACACTGGTAAATCCCATTTCATGACTTCTTTTCAGATATTTTTTCTAACAGCAGCCCAAGTAAATAAAAAAAGGTTCATAAATATTATAGATATTTATTTCAGTTCTCCTCATACTCACTTACTCAACATTATCCCTCAGCTTAGTACCTAGTTTATCAAGGGTCACCACAGCGAAATGGACCACCAATTACACTGGCCAGTTTTATGTGGTGGATGCCCTTCTAGCAGCAACCTAGCACTGGGAATGTATATACACAGATATATTATTGTATACTGTAGCTTCCAATAAAAAGTATTCATTTAAAAGAGAGATCTCATTTATGCTGAGCACTGTACATATAACTTAATGTTTATGTCTCACAATCAACTCACGATTAGTGGTCCTTTATTGTTCTCTCTGTACTTCTCAAAGGCAAATATGTAGATGCTGAGAGCTGCCATGGAGTACAGAAATGCAAAAACGGCGATGGTGACGAAGAACTCTGCTGAAGAGGAGTAATCACCAACCAGGAAGAAACGATCGGACTGGCCATTCTTGCAGGTAGGAGCGTTGAAATACACTTGATGGAGCCTGGAAGAGGTACAGGAGGAACAGTGTTAAGATATTTAACCTAATCTAGAGTACATTGTCCAATATAGAAATCTGATACATGGGAATGTATGCAGCTGACACATATAACATACAATTTATATTTAGATTTCACATGTATAAATATATATCATATATGCAACATTAATTTTCAAACATAGGAAAAAGGCCATTTTTATATATTTCTTTCCAACCATTAGAATTACGAATAATAATAAAAAAAAAATGCAAATAAAAATAAAATAAAATATATAATCCAGGAAAGAAAAATACCTGAAGGGATACTCAAAGTCCACGTCTATTTTCAGGTTACTGTCGGATCTGTTCTTGCACTCCACGCTCATCCTGAAGGAGCCGGAGTAACTCCCACAGGTGGAGAACGCAAAGATGGCAAACACCTGGAAAAAAAGAGAGACAGAGGTTTACATTTAAGCATTTACAAGACGATTTTATCTTAAGCAACTTGCATTGCGTTCGAGGTATACATTTTATCAGTTCATGCATTTCCTCAGAATTAAGCTCATAACCTTGATGTCATTCGTACTAGATGTTACTATTTGATCAACAAAAATCCACATCACAGCTTTTACTGTTACACACGTTTAAGTCTTTTGACCAGAGTGAAATGTTAATTTGGAATTGGTAAAAAGAGGCAAGGCAAATTTATTTATATAGCACATTTCATACACAATGGTAATTCAAAGTGCTTTACATAAACAAGAATAAAAGAAACAGGAAAATAAAAAGGATTGAAAGAATTAAAAATGAATAAAACAGAAAAAACAGAATCAAATGTGTCACAACAGGTTACAAAAGAATGAAAAAGAAAAGGAAGATATAATAGTGTGATCTGTCGAACGTAGCACAGTGCTCATTCTTTAAAGCCACAGCTAAACAAATGTTTTTTCAGTCTAGATTTGAATGTGTCTAATGTTGGAGCACATCTGATCATTTCTGAAAGCTGACTTCAGCAGCGGGGGGCGCAGTGGCTGAAGGCTGATTCACCCTGCTTTAAAGGTGCACTAGGAGATTGTCTTTAGAAACATTTTTTGTTGTGCCGGTTAAAAGTCTCTTTACATTCCAATAGTATTGATTAAAATAAATGATCTAAATGTACGTATTTTTATATTCTGGATGAGGCATAAAACTAAAAAATGTTCATCCAATTAAATACATCTCTCATAATTCCGATAAGTAGCCCAAACTGTATGTCAAGCGGCCGTTTGTACGCAGCTCTGCCGTTTGTGCATTGCGCGTTCATGAGAGAGATCGAGAGAGAGAGAGAGCGCGTATGTGCGATTGGTAAAAACATGCTGAATCAAAACCTGGATCAATATTGGAGTTACCTTTGCATGCTGGAGAAAGGACGACCCCCTGGCTGAAGGATTTCTTTTAGACAGGTAATGTTCTGTTTTAAAATTATTTTAGCTTCATGCAAAGCTGATGTAACGTTAGATGTTGTTGTTACAAATGGGTTATATCTGCACAGACATGTTTAGCCACTAAAATCTTCCGGTAAAAGATTGATGTGACCGTTTTCATTTTCATAAGGTTATTTTCCAGCATCGATAATGTAGATTTTATTTAGTTTGACAAGAAAACATCAGTAAATAGCACTATTCCACCTAGCCAGCTTTACTGAGGTGAAAATGGTTTTATATTCACATCACATTGGTTCATTTTTGAACAATGATGATCTGTGACGCTGTCCTTATATTGTTTACCATGCTACTCTGAAAATTCGCTCTGAAATAGCATGTCAGTTTGGCTTAGTAATGAGTGTAATTCCTGCACTCCGCCGGACAAGCACTAGTTGCTTTTAACACATAAGAGAGGGTTCTGCTGTTATCTTTAAGGTGCGCGTGCTCCTGTTTCAGGAGGCGTGGCTCTGGATGACAGGGGTGGGACTGTGATTCAGAGATTTATGCTAAGCTATTAGCATTGTGGAAGATCAACTACTGCACCTTTAACTGAACTCTTGGAATTTCAAATTTACTTGATCCTAATGACGAGTGATCTGTTAGGTTTGTATTCAGTGAGCATATCTGTAATGTATTGAGGTTATTGGCCATTTAGTGATTTATAGACTAGTAGTAATACTTTAAAATCTATTCTGAATGTAACTGGAAGCCAGAGCAAAAACCTAATGACATGTGTGATGTGCTTTTGAAAGCATTAGAGAATGCTTCAGAAAGCTTTTCATCAAAAGACTCCCATTCAGACATCACACAATGATGAAATCTGTCAAGACTGAATGTGCAAATGTGATAATGGAACATTATAAATATTAACATTTCATGTAGGAGGTGTGTGAAATCAGTTAACATACTGACTAAATAAACCAAATGAGAGAATCCCTTACCATGTGGTTTATAGACATTTCTAATGCTGTTATATTTTCTATATTAACTGATTCATAATTAATAATAATTATTATGAATACTAAATGATGTACTTGTATCATATTACTAGCTTATGCTACTTATATATACACATGACATTATTTAAAAATATATTAATCTGACTTCACCTAGAAGTAACATCCCACCAAGCAATTGTGTTTAATAGACGTCTAATAGACATCTAAACATAGATGTCTTGGCTAAAACAAGGCTAACTTTTCGGTGAAAATCCAATAGACGTCTAAGAATAGCCTAAAACTAAACACTAGTCATCAAATACACAGATTAGACACACTTTACATGTGCAGTCATTCATTTCAGTGTATTTGATGATTAGTCTAGTTTTAGGTTATTATTAGACGTCTATTAGATTTTCATTGACAGCCCAGATTTAGCCTTGTTTCCTCCAGGCTCCACCTAAGCTGTCTATGTTAAAATGTCTATTAAATATCTATCAAACATTTTTAAAAACATAAAAAATGCTTAATAGGATCTTGTAAAATGTTGCTAAATTACATAATGAATACATTTGTTTATCCTTTAAGCTTATAAACTCAGTCCTCAGATACCTACATCTCAAGATTGCTCATATACTTGAATTATTTTGGATTATTCATTCATTAACTTTCCTTCAGCTTAGTCCCTTATTTATCAGGGGTTGCCACAGCGGAATGAACCACCAACTATTCCAGGATATGTTTTACGCAGTGAATGCCCTTACAGCAGCAACCTATTACTGGGAAACAATTTTGGGTTATTATAAATCATTTTACATTTCTTAGACTAATTTATTAGTTCTTTATTGAAGTGTTACATTATATGGCAGTTATTATTTGTATGATTGTTAAAACCTGAAGACTCTGAATGTCTGGATCTCATCCTATCAATATTCTGCATCACCATGTCACACCAGCATCCTGAAATGGACATAGGCACATTATTTTTCCTGTTAGGATTTAAATCTGAGAGATTGAGTCATGGAGATTACTTATGGACTCTGGCCGGTGGAGGGACTGAATGGAGAATGAAGTTATTAAATTTCACAGAGATACTCGGCCATCTGTCATATCGCTGAGCTGCGCTGTTCTGTGTTTCAATGTACAACACCATCAGACACGGAAACAATACACACACACACACACATCAAACCGCAGTAAACCATGCTAAACGAAGCCAAATCAAATAGGGTAAAGGAGGACAACAGGAAGGAAACCTAAAAACATAAAAACCTTGATAAGCTAAGTTAAACAAGATGGATTTAACATGCAACCACCATAGCAATTAAGGCATTGTGTAACCTAGAAAAAAGGTCTGGTTATACAGGCTAAAACAGTCCACACAAAACAAAGGCAAACAAATCTGATCAAATCAAACCAAACACAATCAAATGAGCTCACATTACCAAGCCCAGAAAAGACTGATGTTAGACTGAAACAAGCACAAATGAACTCAACTGAGTTCCGTGAGTGAGTTAAACTGTGCAAATACTGTATATTAATAGCAACTGTATAAAACCAAATGCTTATTATGCATTAATGGTAACTTGATGGAACCAAAGATCATTTTGTGTGTCTCCAGACAGCTTATTGTTACTCTTATTCTATTGAATCATTACAATTGTACATTTTTATGTAAAACCTCATGATGTTTGAGTTAATATTTCTTCTTCAAGATCATGGTAAATCTTATACACTGTAGAAACATACTAGCCAGGCCTGTAGTCAGGGGGGTGTTGGGGTGGTTTCAAAGTCCCATCCCTCACTGACAAAAGTCCAGAATTCGTTCCATGCATGAGCTCATTTGTCCTATTTTGACTGCTAATTCATAATAAATTGTGAAAATAACCCATCGAAAAAGGATTTAAGACCAATTTGAACCCTGTATTGGCTTTCAGCACAGAATTTGGGATGTAGAATTTGGTCTTAAGTCACAGCACGCTATATTCAGCATCTCAAATTCTACATTTTCAAATCTAAAACTGTAACAGATTCATTTTTTTCCTAATGATATATGATGTAAAATAATTTTCTTTTAAAAATAAGTATTGTTCTCATTATTGTAAATCTTTAGTAACGTTTTGGTACATAAAAAAGTGTGGTTATGATGACGATCTGACAAGCTAATCCAGCTAAAAATAGTGCTTAAAATGTCACTAAAATGTAGTGTTAAAATATCATAATTAAATAGAAAAAGCAGAAGTCTAGACAGGATTCAAATGACATCTTTGGCCTGTTGTCTTATCAGATGCCATTTTTCACCTTGCATGAAGTGAAAAAACATTGTGACCACTAGATGGCACCAAATCTTTTAGATTGTGAATGCCCTCCAACGTGGACCTTGTTAAGTCAATGATGCATTAACTGTGCTAAAAAAGTGCCTTCATACTGACAGAGAGCAAGGGTTTTCTGTTCACTCCTTAGGGAGCCAAGCAACGTGCTCAGACGGTGACTTATGAATATCAGAAACAGATTTTTGAGTCCATTTAATCTATTTAATCACTTGTGTAAATGTATGTAAATATATAATTATTCATTTTTTTATATTAATCATTGAATAGTATGCAAATGCTTAGATAATGTAGCATGTTCAATACATTGTGTAAAGTAATATTTAATGTATTTTAATGGATGTATTATATGGGAATATATCATTCTACTTATTTAAGACTGAAGTTCAGGTGAAAGTTATATTGTAATATACACTCACTGGCCACTTTATTAGGTAAACCGGTCCAACTGCTCATTAACGCAAATTTCTAATCAGCCAATCACATGGCAGCAACTCAATGCATTTAGGTATGTAGACATGGTCAAGATGATCTTCTGCAGTTCAAAGCAAGCATCAGAATGGGGAAGAAAGGTGATTTGACATGATTGACATAAAAGCATGGATCCAATCTGCCTTGTATGTATGATTCAATGATATCAATGACGCCGGGGGTGGTGGTGTAGTGGAGTGTTTTTTTTTTTCTTGGCAGACTTTGGCCCCATTAGTAC